CTATTGGTTGGTTGAGTTTCCAAATTTTAAAGCCAGAGACAGATAATATGGTTAATGGCATTATATCATAGGCATGGTATTTGAGTTAGTTGGAAAGCAATCCTACACATTGGAAAGAGTTTACTTGGCTCAAGAACTATTTCTATGTTTGTAAATTGGTTCCCACTTACCAATTAATTGTCCGTGCATGTGTCGGCCCACCAGAGGCAAACTAATTTGGAAAAGGGTCCTCCAAGATTTGGAATAATATTATTTGATTAAAGTTGAAAGAAAATGGGCCCAATTTTTTTGACAAGTGCCTCGCCACTTTTTAATGTTTTAGTTGGACAATTTCTAGCTTCAACATTTGGGCCTTATTTGTTCTCAAGTTTTGGGCCTTATTATGTCGCGACTCATTCACTCCAAGACACGTCGTCCGTGAACAAGTCTCGAGTGGGCATTTGTAAATAAAGAAATTTTGTGGCCAATCAAATGGCGCCACGTGGAAATTAATTTATTAAAAATCAAGTCATATTTTCTATTTATATTTTAGAAATTTCCATAAATTTAATTACTAAATTTAAATAGTTAATTAATTGATATTTTAATATTTTAATTCTTGGCCAATCAAATATTGCCAAGTGTCAAATCTTAATTCTTGGTAAGAAATCATATGTCTTCTAGAAGATCTTGGGAGATCTAAAAGATTTTATGTGAATCATCATGGACCAATCAAATCGCGTCCTACGATTTTTAAATTTGGTAAGGTTCTCCCTTCTACACCTATAAATAGGGGCTCTCCCTAATGTCAAAAAGACACCTCATAATTCATATTCAAAGTTCAAGAGCTCTAGAGAATTCTCTCGACGAGATTCAAGTGTTCTTGAATATTCAAAGGCGTTCTTAAAGATTCGAAGCAAGATTCAAGCGCATTCAACCTCAAGGCTGGCGTTTAATCCGGAAACAAGCTACAAAGCCTCCGAATAACGTTAGTAAATTCAAAACCGGCGTGAAGAAGATTCAAGATCTACTTTGCGACGAAGCCCAACGATTCGTGTTCTTCGCGTTCTTGGGATATTTTGACGTTTGATCCGAAATCAAGGCGTTGACCCTCGGATTAACGTTAATTCAAGTCAAACCAAGTCAAGGAGAAGATCAAGCCGAAGATTTTGCTCCAAGACTTAAAATTGTTCGTGAGAAGAATCAGAGGAATAATAGAGATTGTAATCCGTAATATTTATTTTGATTCAAGAAATTTATTTGAATAATATTTTTCGTGTTTTTAAATTCAATACACGAAATTTGTCGTTACAGCGTGAATATAAATTAATATTTGTATTAATTATAATTTAATATCATTTTCTATTATAACCATTGAATTGCAAATATATTTTAAAAGTTGATATCTTTTGTATTCCTTATCGGTTTTACATATATAATATATCAAAGTAATCATCTTTTGATGAGCTTCGATTTGACATCCATATTGTATATATAAAATAAATAAATTATATTTATCTTTATAATAATAATAAAATTATTTATTAAAATTAATTAGAAAATAAAATTATTTATCAATTAATATATTTATGTTTAATGTAGTTATATGTTACAAGGTAGAAAATTTATTATAATATAACACATATAAGTCGCAAAATTAACATGTGTCATACTAAATATATAATAATATATACTCCCTCCTATTTTTATTATTTGTCACTTTGGCTTAATTGATTTTTTATCATTTGTCACTTTGGCTTAATTGATCATTGATAAAATAAATGTTGTTTTAGATATTTTGTTCATATATTTCCATTTGTAACCCTTCATCTAATCCCATCTCCATCGTTTCCCATAACACCCACTAAATAGAGTTAATATTGTCAAGAAAAAAATCTTAATTAGTGTATTGCATTTGAATTGATATTATGAAGTCCGTTTGTATTGTACTATATATATATATATATATATATATATATAATACAAAACAGTAATATATATCTTTATAAATAAAATTTAAATTTATTTATCGAACTAAATTAAATTATATCAAATAAAACTATAAATTATACTATAAAGTAATAAAAATTGGTATGTATTCTTTTAAAAATGATATTTATTTCAAATCTAATTAGTATGTTGTCAATGTAATAAAAATAAATAATTATTTATCTAAATTCTAAAATTACATATAAAGTTAAAAAACTGTGAAGCACGACTGATACGACACTTGATGTATTAGACATCTAACTAAGTAAAAAAATTAATCTATTTTACTTAATATTAAATAAACATATTCTACACTTATGCATATACATATGACCATATTATTTCCATTTATTTAAGATATATATTTTTGTACTTATGTAATAGTAAATAATACGATATTTTATATGGTAGAAGTAAAAAAAATTCAATACGGGTTGTCATTTTCATTTAATGTACGGGTGTTTAATAATGATTAAAAAAATATAATTTGACAATTTAATTAAAACTCAAAGTAATGTTTTATGTAGAATTAAATTATTTTAGTTTTTAAAAAAATAAAAAATTATTACTTTTTACAAAAACTTTCTAATTCAACACCCGTGTAACACACTGGTATTGTACTAGTAGGTATTCATAAGAAAAACTATATCTAGTAGTCCTATGAGCACTATAATTCTAATGTATAGAAAATATATCTAGTCCTAAGATAACTAAATGTCTTGCATTCTAAGACGTACCAAATAATTAAATACTAATTCCTAATAATCTAACTACTCACGGCTAATCTAACAAACCAAATAATTAACCTACGATAACCAATTTTGCTATAAAGCCAACAGTTGGCTCCATAGTGGAGCCAACCTTCTATATACAACAGTAAACCTTCCATATTGTCATTATATTTTATCCGATCAATATAGTGATTCATATGCGTTTAAATAGTTTTGTACTGTTTATTTTTACTAATTTTCTAATCTTTTAAATATAATATTATTATATAACTTATAATTTTAAAATTATATGATATATAACTTATAATATTTTATTTACATTTGTGCATGTGCATATAACCGAATACTAATTTACTCGGTCATAGAGAGAGTGGATAATGAAGAGAGAGTGAGAGTTGGAGACAGTTGTATCATATGCACAATCTATATATATATATATATAATAAGAATTACTATTTACCAAAAATAGTAAGGAAAAAAATCTGGCAACATTAATTGCATACCATTTCGGGCAACTTTTGTGTTTACTTTTTATTTATTAAATGAGAAATATTTAAATATGCCTTTAATTACGGATAGTTAGTTTTCGTAACCAAAATTCTCAATATTCATTAATTTGGGCAAAAAAAAACTTGCAAGTTCATAACCCATAATAATTGTGTAAAATTTATCAAAATCAATGATATCACATAATTAACTGTCAGATTTGAATGTTTTTAGCCGAGTTGAGTTTTAAAGAAAAAAATCATTTGGACGTCAAAAAATTTTGTGTAACAAAATAATTTTGCCGATAAAAAAACTAACAAATCTACCGACACACACTCAAATTCTAAGAGTTCTTTTGATTAATCGTAAACACCCAAAAAATCCGAATATAAAAGTACAAAAATCGAACATAAAAACCTTAAAATTAAAAATTTCATATTTCTTTTTCGGGCAAAACAGCTAAAATTAAGAAAATCTACCAACGCACACTAAAATTCGAAGGATTCTTTTGATTAATTGTAAAAAACAAAAAATTCGAACATAAAACTACAAAAATTGAAAATAAAAACCCTCAAATTGAACAATCCACATTTTGTTTTGTGCAAAACACCTAACACTAATTTAAAGCATAGATTAAATGAAAACTAAAAAAGAATATGTATTTATAAGACCCTCACTGTTAGAACGGAAAACTTGGAAGAAGAACGATGAAAAAAGACAAAAAAAGAAGCTGGAAGCGGCGAAAAATGAAGGAAGAAATGAAGTCCTTGATCCGATAATTCCACTATATATATACTATGTTCAGTGTAATCTAAACGTCGATTTTTGTTGACTAATCTGAATCATTGGATTATTTTTTCTGTTTTGTTTTGGCCGATATGAACTTTCGAAGCCAACATTTTAAATTGGGCCGATATGAACTTTTTGAAGTCCATCCGATAGTGGGTGGTGCATTTGGAGATCCAAAGTGCACATTTTTCAAAATCATTCCTATTGTACAAGCCCAACATGATTAATATAAATAATTACAAGTATCTTATAATAAGTATTTGTTAAGTTTAATTACAAGTATTATAATAAGTATTTGTTAAGCCCAACATGAATTTAAATACAAAATTATCTTTTAAAAGGACGGAAATAATAAAGTCTCGTGCATCGCACGGGTACTGTAGTAATTTGGAACTAAATGAATTAGTTTTAGAATTCTACTGTACCTACCACTTTTTAGGAATTCAACATCCAAAAAGGCGTAATTATGAATTCTCACCGCATTTTATATGCGGTAATTAAATTTTGGCTAATTTACATATATATTAAATTTTTGGAAATGTTTTGCGAAATTACAAACATTTGATAATATCAATTTTACATAAAACATACATTTATATTATAAATTTATTAATTATTTCTTCTTTAATTTTATATTTATTTTTTTATAGTTTATAATATGTTTATGTTATCAGACCTCGTGACATGGTTTTAAAAAAATCCGCTAATATTCAAAAGCCTTTCCGGTCGAAAAACAACGGCGACGAAGGCGTGTCTTAAATTATTAATAAATATCAAATAGATATTGAAATCTTCCACAACATAACTAAATCAAACATCCAAAAACATATACTCCAAAGACTGAAACATTATCAACCATACATATGTTGAATATACACTATGATAAAATCAAAAACTAAGAAAACAATCATTATAACATGATCAAACCATACGGAACAAATGCACAACGGCATAGTAGGCAATTAAGAGACTCCAAAAGTTTGCCATAACTGTTTTTAGCAGGATTATTTAATTTCGACTTTCTAGTTATGCAGCAATAATTAAGGTTGATGATTGTGCTCTTGAGTCTATATTTTCTTTATTCATAGAGCATGACTCAACAGAAAGATGAAACATAAGCAACTCAGAAAGGTTATGCATTGCTTTAACACTGTTGGCACAATTAGTTTCTTTAATGTGACCAGTAGCTTCTCGAATTTGGGACGGGCCTTTCGTGGGATTGAGAATCTAGCGCGATATTCTTGACAAGAGATGACTCGAGGGATTTAACAATATTTCGTGTTGCAGTGGGCGACAACAGGTCTAGGCTCGAGGAGAAGTTGAGGTAGTCAATCTGCTCGTTTCGCTTACAGATTGAGTTCTCGGTGTAGATCCGAGCGTCGGCCAAGCCCTTCTCGATCGCCAAAACCACGGGCGACTGCTTCAACCCGAGAATATTTGAGATAATCATGGAGCTCAGGGGGTTGCCATTCTTAGAAGTATGTCACTACTCGTGGGTTGTTCGAAAAATATTTTCACTAGTAAGCAACGAGCAAGGTCGTATTCCACATAGATTGTCGTTATAATTATCAAAATATAGATGATTAAATATTATTTAGACTAAAGAAAATTGGGATGGATTTCTAAATCTAAACTAATGAATAACGTTAAATTGATTCTAACAACTAATTAAGGTTTTTACTAAATCAAGAATGAGAAAATAGATGCTATGCTAAGTTTTCTCGGAATTATTCTTCAAAATATTTACTGTTCATTCAATCATTATTTAATTCTACAAATCGTAGGAATAATCGTTAAAGTAACATAACCTCTCTCTCAAACAAGTTAAATCGTTGATTAACTGTTATTTATCTCCTCTCGATCTCAAGATGAACAATTAGCTCTCACAGTTCCTAAGATTCTAATTCCCTCGCAAAATTCTATCAACCTCTCAGGCTATTTAGTCTCTTACGTTATCAATTTCTCAATTCTAGTGATTAATTATCTCCTCTTGGTGTCAAGACAATCACAAATATGCATAAATACAGGGACTGCATTCACACAATAAATATAAGCACAAGAAATTAACAAAAGAAAGATAAACCAGAATGAAGAAATAAAACTATTTCATAAAATAATCCTAATACTCACAAATCGTAGAATCCAAAAAAAGGTTTAACTACTAAACATATTCTCGAATCTTAAAATAAACAAATCAGAGGAACGATTATCTTCATTAGTTCCCAATCTTCAATCGTGACTCTTTCGGATCTCCTGTGCATCTTGAGCT